CAACATAACGTCTGTAGAAACTTGGTTTTATATGTGTGGATGAGAGGGCTCTTTCTTCAAAGTCTTCCATAAAAATGTCTGCTAAGATTGGAGAGAGTGGTGATACCATGACTAGACCGTCTGTCTGTTCGTAGAATTCCTCGTTGTATTGGAAATAAGTTGATTGTAGACAAGTAGTCGTTAGTTCCATGATGGCGTCTATCTTCATGTCGGCTCTATGTGGTAGAGAGTTGTCATTCAGCAGTCGTTGTCTGGTGATACGAAGGGTTTCTGAGGTCGGAACATTGATAAATAGGTCTGTGGCGTCAAGTCTGACTAGAGTATTCTGAGATCTGATGTGTGGCTTTTTGAGTTGTTTTATGAAATCTGTTGAGTTGTGAATGTGATATTTAGTATTCCCTCGTAGTGGAGATAAAACAGGTACCAGGAATGTTGCTAGTTGACGGCAAGGTGAGTTTATAGCACTGACGATAGGTCTTAAAGGTATATTAGGTTTGTGTACTTTAGGTAGTCCGTAGAATTGAGGGGGGAAATTCTCGTTGGTTCTTAAGTCTTTGGCTAGCATCTCGTTGATTACCTTTTGTTTCCTACGTTTGTTCAGTGTTCTGTTGATGAGTCTTTCTGTCTTTTGTGTAGCGTCATTGGTGATCTTTTTGTATTGGTGTTTGTCTAGTAATTGTTTGATCTTCGAGTCGTAATCTTTGACGTCTAAGATGACTACACTGTTTCCTTTGTCTGCTGGTAGAATCTTAATAGTGTCATCCCGTCTTAGACGGTTCAGTGCGTTGTATTCCTGTTTGGTGATGTTAGGTTTTGGTTTCTTGGCATTCCCAAGGATGGTGTAAGTTGGATGTAGGAATTGTTCAGCCATGGGTTTCGGGAGGTTTTGTGTAGCAGATTCTAAGGTTGCAGCTATGTCAACTGCTGGAACTGTGCTAGGATGTATGGCGAAGTTTAAGCCTAGCTCAAGGATCTTGTTTTCAGCATCACTTAATAATCTCGAATTGTAGTTGTGTACTATGTTTGTAGTCGTAACGGTATCTGTCTTGGTCAGTTTGTTGAACTTTTGGACTTGTTTCTTTTTTATGGTTTCCAGGTTGGATATATAGCGTATGGTGCAAAGGTTTAAGATGTCAAGTGTCTGGGGTGAAAAGTTGTTGAAGCTCAGCATGTTGTGTTTCAGTTTTCTTGGTTAGATGGTGCTCCTTTCGTCTATGTTCTTCTATATGTAATCTTAGGAGGTTCCTGCTGGTATTGTCGAGAACTTTCTTTATCTTTGGAGTATTGTGGAGAGTAGTTATTTTGAGTATCAGAAAGTTTGGGATATATATTTGTTGCTATATAGATTCAATATATTACTTTATTAACGTTTTTACCCTTATACTGTAAGCTAAAAACGGCTGCTGCTATGATTTTGCCTTGTTTATGAGCTCGTTGATGTCCTAATTTAGGATCCTCTTTTTAATAAGTTCTTTAAAATGTTAAAAAAGAGAGAGAAAGGGGGCCTGGCGAGGATGTTTTTTTTTCCTCGGAGCCCGTGCTAGCTCTCGGCCTGACGAGCTAAGATTGCGAGTTGAGCACCCTAACCACTAGACCATGCCAGCCCGACATATTTTTATATGCTTTCATATAAAACTAAACTGAGTCACAACATTCCCTCTATCACCGACTTAGTTAATAAGGAGAGCTCTCATGACTTGATCTTTGTCACCTACAGTGGACTGTTTTTATGTTATATTCTTTGATTTTAATACCTGAGTTTATTTTGTGGTCATACGTGTTCTTATTTGTACAGAAAATACCGATTTACTAATAGTTTTGACCATACATAAAGACACAACATATTGTTACGACAGCGTAAGTCACGTGACGCTGGTGGCGTGCGTGAGGAGTTTCTCGAATTATCGGGGAAGTCCGCGAATGTTGGAGATACTTTTCGTTAGTATATAAGCCTGGAAGTAAAAATCAGTGGAGATAGATTGTGAATCACTGTGTCTTATAGCGTGTATTATAAAAGTTGTTAAGTCTAAAGTGACGAGAAACCTGCTGATTGTGGAACTACTGTGTACTAAAAGTTTGTATCGAGGAAGAATAAACTAGTTTAATCAAAAAAGGAC